ACAAATAGAACAATGACATGGAGGGTGAGTAACAAACTATTCGTACTTAGCACACTGAACAATGACGGATACTTTCTTGGTTATCTATGTACCAATAGTGTAATACTCACATACAGGTTATTGCCATTTCGAATTTATGTCACTGCTGCACGTAGCGTCACATGCCTTTATGTCACTGTTACTGGCTGACATCCATATTTCATTTGCACCAAGTAGTCGATGATGGAGCCAATGGAGAGCATTGGTCAGAGCGTAGGATCTACTACTCCAGTTTTGCTTGAAGATGATGCCAATACCAATTTCAAGGTACATAATTTGGTCAATTAAATAATTATTCCTTGCTGTACCGTATCATTTATTTGTTAATAGCCTGATAGGGCAGGAAAAGTGCTTAGTTATAATGTATCTAAATTTATTTGTTTTTCCTTCTTTGGCAGGATGGAAATGAATTGGCTTCATGCAGTGGAGATAGTTACACTACACCAAGGAAAACAAGAAGCATGCCGATCCGCGTAAGTATTGTTTAATGTTCAATATAGAATTAGCAAGTTTTATCTTCCAAAATGATAATTGTGTTGTTTTGGTCCAGGGTTCAACATATGAGCCAGAGTGTGATGAAAGCTTGCAGCCCACAATTGGCATGGTCTTTGATAAATGGGAGGATGGTGAGATTTTCTACAAACATTATGCTCATGAGGCTGGTTTTTCGGTTCGGATATTTACACAGCATAAAGGGGATGGTGGTGTACCAGTGTGGAAGCGATTTGTTTGTGCAAGGCAAGGATGGAGGAAGGAGAAATGTGTACCGAATGATCATGTCAAGAAGTCCAATAGGAAAGTGAAGATAACTAGGTGTGGTTGTGAGGCTATGATTGGCTTAAAGAGAAGAGGTGATGGCAAGTATGTAGTCGCCCGATTCGTGCTTCAACACACACATCAGCTTGTCTCGCCGAGTAAGAAATAGTTCCTGCGATCTAATAGAGAAGTCAGTAGTGAATTGAGGAGCACATTTTTCACTTGTCGCAAAGCATTGATGGGCCCTTGCCAAACATATCGCTTATTGAGTGCACAAAACGGCGGGCAGGCAAATATTGGATGCACGAAGCGTGATTTACAGAATTATGGTCATGATATCGCTGAGATAATTAAAGATGCAGATGCACAAACAATCATTGATGCTATGAAGAGTAAGCAAAGTATCAATCCAACTTTCTTCTTTGATTATGAACGAGATGAAGAGGACAAGTTAACCCACATTTTTTGGGCTGATGGTACATGCAGAAAGAACTATGCACTATTTGGTGAGGTGATGTCCTTTGATTCCACATATAGTACTAATCAATACAACCTAGTTTTTTCCCCTTTCACTGGTGTGAACCATCACAAGGCATGTGTTACATTTGGTGCTGCATTTGTATGCCATGAAAAGGTTTGGTCGTACAAATGGTTATTCAAGACCTTTCTAAAGGCAATGGGAGGTGTTGCACCTAAACTTATCATTACCGATGAGGACCAAAGCATGAAAGCTGCAATCAAAGAAGTATTCCCTCAAACTGTACACAGACTTTGCATGTGGCATATTCTCTACAAAGTACGACAGTATGTCGGTCATGATTTATTCAATGATGAAGATTTCCGTAAGCAATTTAGTGCATGTGATTTTTTACATGGTCTTATAGGTCAAGAAGCTTTAAAATAGATCAGAGGGATAAGAAGGTGCACCAGTCTCGAAGGTTATTTGGCATTTCCCATATTTAATGTCGTATTGTTTTCTTGAAATGTTTTTAGGTCCTAGTTTTTATTTTATCATGTAGTTGTGCTTTTGTACCTTCCACTCGATGGTGTAGGAATAGGAATTCATCAAGTGATCTGTAGCAATATTGTTTCATTTAGCTATGTTAATTTGTGAACTATATCATCTTGTGAACTATATTAAGTTCATGTTAATTCCAAGACAAAGATGCCAGTGTATAAAGCTGCTCAATTTTTTTGAAGGTATATGTTGCTGTTTCCTTTGATATGAATTTTTATACACTGTTTTTGCTAGGGACATCTTAACTTTTCATGTAACCAGCTCGTACTAATTTGGACATATTTCTGAATGCAGGATAAAACCATTCCTTAACTAGGT